GATTCGGCGGAACTTCCAATTTGGGGTAATCGATTATGTAGTCGATCTCCTACCCGAAGTGTAGGGCAGCGAGATCCAGGCCTGGCCACTCTGGACCTAGGAGCGGTGCGTACGCCTCCCTGGCCACGCCAGGGAGGAGGCTCGAATCTGCACCGCTCTTGGGCCCAGGGTGGGCCTGCCCAGCGGCGGTGGACCTGTACGGGTCTCGTCGCCCCATGGCGTCCCCACGGGGCACTGGGTCGGAGGGCAGTGGGCCCGACTCGATCTTCCGTACCTCGTCACGACCTCCTCGCCCCGCTCCACCCCGCTCCGCTCGGACCTGGCCCTCGTGGCACCCCCTGCGCCGCCCTGGCGACCAGCAGCCAGACACCATGCCACCGGCCCTGGCCAGGGCCAGCACGGCCATCTCTGACAACCTGTCCGGGTGCTGCTGGAAGTGCCCCTGGCCCAGGGTGCCCCCCCAGGATTTCCCAGCAGGTCCCCCACATGGCCTCTACAGAGCCCTTCACCAGGCCCAGAGGGCCTCAGGGGCGCCCATGTGGAGCTGGGAGCACCTTGGGCCAGGGGCACCTTTTGCAACCCCCGACATGTCGTCTACGGTTGCCGGTCTCCGATGGCGCTCTGGGCCCTCGGGAGGCCCAGCAGGGAGGCCCAGAAGCATCCAGAACCGTCTTCCCCTTTGCCCTCTTGGCTTTGGACCTGCGCTGCCCGTGAGGTGGGACGGGTTGTCGTGGGAGTGCACTGGGATGCCGCCCCTCCATTTCAGGGGCTCGGGCCTCATCCCTGCAGATCCATGCTGGCTTGTTTTGCTGCCGCCCCGAAGTGTTTATCGCATCTCATCCCCTCTCTTCCCCCCCACCACCCCACCCGGGGCCCCTCACTGTCTGCCCCGCCCGCAGCGCCGCAGCCCCGTGCCCGCGCCGCCGCTTTTCTTTCCGCCCCCTGGCGTGGCCCATGGAGGAACCAAAACCACGGCGTAGGCATAAACTGTCGAAGTTCCTCACGGATTTCCTGGATCAGCGCTGGACCCCCCTCCCTGGGGCGCCAGGGGCGGCGCCGGAGGCGCCGCCAGGGGGTTGCACCGCCGACGCAAGAAGTCCGCGCGGAGCTCCGAAAGTTACTGGTTGTGCCGTGGTCTGTCCCTCGAGCCCATGTCCACGAGGGGGGCGTCCCTGCCCCTAGGAGCACACGCCTGCGCCGGAGCAGCTGCCAGGCTCTGCGGGCTATACTTACCACGGGATCGAGCGCCGCGGTCGCCCAGAGTCTCCCTGCGGGTCGGAGGGTGCCCCTGTCCTGGGGGGCCCTCCCCGAGGCCTCCATCCTCCTGGGACCCGCATTTGCTTGACGGTGCACCTTCGTCGTCGACGGCGAGAGAGGGAGGGAGGGAGGGAGGGAGGGAGGAGGAGGAGGAAGCAAGGAGGACCGAGGAGGGGCGAGGGATGGGGGAAGCGGGCCCCAGGTCCTACACCCGGGGGCTTTCCTTAGGAGCAGCTCTTCATCCTGAGCCAGTTTCGACCTGTCCTCGGTCCCGTAGTTCGTAGAGGGGGCCCAGAAAAAGCTAAGCAAGTGCAGGACCCAGTATCGACATGCTAATTTCGCCTTGTTCACCTCTCCTTCCTCTCTTCTCTCGGAGGGCAGACTTCGACCCTGGCCCTCGCGACCGAGCCACGTCAAGTTGCTTCAGAGATGGCGGCTGGTTTTGCATGGGCTGGCAGCGGGGTCTCCCCAAAGCGGGGTTGAAGCTCTTCTTTGCCATACGGTCAAGACGCGGAAAACAGGGATAGCTCGGGTTCTCGGGTTCTCGGGTTCGGAAGGGGCTCACTCTTCCGTGGGTCCTTCGATGGTTGTTCCAGCACCCCTCGTGTACCGAGGCGCTCTGGGGGCCACAAAAAGGGGGCTGCGTTCCCTGTTTAGCCTTCCTTCTGGTGGCAGCTTTGCTGTGCTCACCACCCATGCCTTCTCCTCCCCAGGACGCCCGAGACCTCCAAAGGCCCCTGGACCTTGGACGTCTCCAGAGGCCTCCAGAGGCCTCAGGATGTCTCTGGAGGCTCAAAGGAGCTCGCCAAGACGCCCAAAGATTGTGGTCCTCCCTCCGCGAGCCTCGCGAGGCTCGAGCCTCTCGTGCCTTTTGAACCGTTCGAGCCTTGAGCCTCCGCGATCCTGGGCCCTCCAGAGGCATCACGATCCTCGAATCTCCTCTTCGAGCCTCTTCGATCCCAGATTCCCCCCCCTCCTCCTGGAGCCCCCGCGGCCCATGATGCGGGGGCGAGGAGGGAGGGGAGGGGAAGGGGGGAAGAGGGAGGGGGGGGGGTCGCAGGCGGCACCATATGGACCGCAAGCGATTGCAAGCCCCCGACTGGGCGGCCCAGAGGGGGGGGAGGGCGCGGGGCCAGCTCGGGCATGCGACCGCCCGACGCGTGCGAAGGAAGTACAAGGGGCGGGGAGGGGGGAAGGGGAGGGGAGAGGGGGATCGGGGGGAAGGGGGAGGGGGTAGGGTGGGACGGAGGGGGAGGGAGGGGGGATGGAGGACTTTTGGATTGGATTGCGGATTGCGCATCTGCTTCAACAACCCGGCTCGGGCGACAAGGTAGCAGGCAAGCTTTGTTGCCTGTCGCAGTTAAGAGGCAACACGTGCAGCACAGTACGAGAACAGCACAGCCAGTGCAAAACAGGGAAGGGCACACGCAAGGAGCCAGCGAGGCGGGCGGTCCTCTGTTCATTTGTGCCGGGTCCTTGACGTGCGAATGAGAGTGCAAATCCAAGGCCACCAATCACAAGGCGGCAAGACATTTCTGGCCCCCAGGCGGTACGAGAACGAGACGGCGGCGGGACACACACACACACACTCACACACACACACACGCACGCACGCCTGCACGCACGCACGCACACACCCACCCACACGCACACACACACACACACACACACACACACACACACACACACACACACACACGCACGCACGCACGCACGCACGCACGCACGCACGCACGCACGCACGCACGCACGCACGCACGCACGCACGCACGCACGCACACACGCACGCACGCACGCACGCACGCACGCACGCACGCACACACACACACACGCACGCACGCACGCACGCACGCACGCACGCACGCACGCACGCACGCACGCACGCGCGCACGCACGCACGCACGCACGCACGCACGCACGCACGCATGCACGCATACACACACCACACACACACACACCGATCTTCGCACTGAGGCTCAAGAGAGGAGCTACTGCAGCACAGCCTCTCCTGCTAGCCATCGCGGCTTGCTTTAGCTGCGTGGCGCCAGCCGAGTCCGAGCATGCGTACTGCCGTCATTACGGCGGAACCTTGCCAGGGCCAGCTATATTCTCTCCCTCCACGACACGAGCGGCGCACGGAGGAGGACAACACCATCGGATATATACACGCCAAGCAGCCCGCACCATCCCATGCAGCGCCGGGCGGAGGCGCAGCGGCGAAAGGCCGAGAACCTGCGGGTGAGCCATCGCAGGCCGCTCGGAAAAAGGGGCCTCGCACGTGTGGTGCGCTTTCGGGTGCACCAGCACCACGGACTGTGGTCATGTGGGTCCCTGGCCGCTCCACTCATACTCTGTCCTCGTGCCGCAAGAGAGGTGGGGGTAAAGCGGCGGCGGCAAAGCAGAAAGTGGGAAGCAAGAACTGCCCACAACATTGAATTGCCGACTCGCTAGCCTGCTCAGTCGAACAGACCCTGCCCGAACGATGCATCGGCAGCCCACGGCGCCACGACGAGGTGTGCTCTCGCTGCCTGTGCTTGTTCACGGTTCTTGGCCATTCGAGGCCTGATCTCGCTTGGCAATTGCACAGATTGTCTAGGAGGGGCGTGGGTGTTGAGCCTGGGGTTCCCAACAGTGGCTCGCCCAGGAAAGATTCGGCAGCCTCAGGTGGCACTGGCGGCCTAGGCGTGGCAGCGGGGTAAGACGTCTCCACTCTGCTCCTGCTCTGTTGGGGCAGGCTCGGGTGTGCAAGAACTACTTATTTCGGGATCGGCCCGTCGGGCCCGAGACCTGGGCAACACAAAATCTGGGGCCCATTCCTCGCACTGCCCCTGAGAATGATCCCATGAGACGTAACAATTACAGAGTGCATCACAGATCCCTTGGTCCTTCTCCATATCCTCGGGAACAGTTTCGTCGCAATGTCATTCACACAACGTTAGCACATAATCGATCATGCTATCTGCCAAGCACTTACATAGTCGTCGGGGTACGTTGTTTCTTGTCGGCCCTCCATTCCCTGCGGTTTCCATCGTAGTCCAGCAATGTTTCATGACCTCTCCTTTCATGTGAACACCGTCCTCTCACCTCCGTATCCAACCGACGACAGTGTCAGCCTGAGACTCGTAACGCCACGATCCTAGTCGGTGCCCGCATCGACTGACCGTGCTCGCACTGATCAAAATCCGTCATTGGCACTGCTGGGGGGGAGATCAAGACCCGGATACGCCAATCACATGGCTGCGGGTGTTCCATCTAAGAGCTTGTGTGTATTGTGAGGTGCGCGGCGAATAGTGTGACCATCGCTTCTAGCAGCGCGTCTCCTAACCACACCCGCTCCATACGTCGCGATGTCAGTGCAACCTCCTCCAAATACTCGTCATGCGTCCGTATTGGGGATGGGCCGCTGTTTTCAGCCCACCTCGCGGCAGACCATGTCTCCCACGGTGGGCCACCTCCCGACAAAACGACCCAATTCGCCAACACGTGTTCCTTCCATATGGCGAGTGCATCAGCATTCACAATGTGACCGAGCGTCGCATGAATAGCAAAGTCGGTAAGGCAGTGTGCCCACTCAACCTGTTCCTGAATGCCCCTTCCCCGCCGTCGACCACAGTACAGGTTCAGCACACAGTATCTTACCCTCATGGTTGGGACCACGTGACGCCTCGAAGTCCGAACCCCGCCTATTATGTGGCAATTGCTGGGCGCAACTTTGTAAACCTTAATGGCTGATTGTTTGCCTTCTAGTTGTTGCTAGCTGCTGTTGGTTGCCGTTCGCTGCTGGTGCCCGCGCCCGTCTGGTTGGCGCCGTCCAAGGGCCACCCCTTGGGTGGCCCTTGGACGCCCTTCCTGCATGTCGCCCTTCCCGGGCTGCGCCTGCTTGGCAGGCGCCGCGGCTTTTCCCGCGAGCTTCCTGAGCAGACCACTCCCGCTCGGTTTCGCCCGCACGTCTTTGAACAGGTACTTGTGCGCATTGTTCGGGGTGTTCGCGGCCGCCCCAGTCAGCAGCTCGACCTTGTAGTGATTGGTCAGCACGCGCGTCGCCTCGCATTCTTCGTCGCTGAACTTGTCCTTCTGCTGGTGGGACTTCCCGATCACCGCGTCGCCGATCTTGAATGGGGCGCCGGGGGTGGCGACGGGCGCGCGCGCGCGGCGCCGACGACCTTCTGGACCCCCTGCGCCTGCCCCTCGGCGGCCCCCTGGGCACCGGCTGCCCCGACCATATTGGGCACAATGCCCTCCTTGGCCGCGGCGTCCTCCATGGCTGCGGCACCCGCCTCCTTCTGCCCCCCCTCCTCGGCTGCGACGCCTCCCTTAGCTGCGGCGTCTACCTTGTCCCCCTTGGCATCCTTGTCGGCAGACTCGCCGTGCTCCCCCTTGGCGTCGTCGTTGCCCTTCCCTGCCCCGTTCGCCTTCTCTCTGGCCTGCTTCGCCTTCTCCTCGTCGCGGTGCTTCTTCCAGACCTGCAGCCAGTCGACGGTCGCACCCTTCGGGAGGAACAACAAGAACTCCTTCGTGGCCCGGCACGCGTCCGCAGAGCGCTCGCCGCCGGAACCAACTGCCACGGGGTCGAAGGCGGCGTCGACGCCGCTCACCCTCGACAGCGAGCGGGCCTTGAAGCTCTCCTGCAAGAGGCGACTCGCCCACCCCTGGCCCGCCTCCGAGGCGTTCGGCGAGACGGCCTTCACGAACCCGACCGCCGACTTCAGCACGGGGTTTGGCACGTCGACGCCCTCCTCCGCGACGGCCCGGGCCACCTCCACGAAAGCGTCGAACGCCACGTCCTTCACGTCGGGCGTCTCCATGAGGACCAGCGCCGCGGCCCCCATCGTGCCATCGGGATCCCACTCTCTCGCGAGCTTGACGGCTGGCGGGGACAAGACGAAGTGCTTGATGCGGATGCCCAGGGGCACGCGCACGTCGAAAAGCGCAATGGCCGAGTCGATCGATCGTCTGGAGGGCGCGGGGCACGTCGGGGAGGTCGGAGCACCCGAGCAGGATGTCCAGCCGCCTCTGGCCGCCAGCGAGCCGCGCCTGGCGCACCTTGTCCTCCACGCGCGCCGCCACGAAGCTCTTGTGCATGGCACTGCTCCGGAAGGCTACGCGGGCGACAGCATCCGCCTGCGACCAGTCGAGGGCGGCGTCCGAAGAGGCGTCGATGACGGCCAATGCCTCCAGGAGCTTGCCCTCGCCGGTCTCCTGCCCGCCCAGCTCCTTCAAGCTAGTGAACGTGCCCTTGAACAGATGGAGGTGCTCGAAACCAGGGGCCGCGAGGAACGTCCGCGCCAGGAAGTTCGTAAACTTCGTCACGAGACCAGCCTCCTTCGCGTCGGCCTCCGCGCCCAACTCCTTCAGAATCGCGTGGGCATCTCTCACGTGCACGCAGACGGTGGTAGTGTGGAGGGCGTTCGTGCTCGTCCAGTGGCCCGCCTGCACGGCGCTCTTGATATTGCCCCGCAGGTCCCGCAATGTCTGCAATCGGAACCTGGCCCTTTTCGCCGCGGGCGCCTCCCCATCGGCCTCGTCCGAGGAACGCCTTTTCAAGGGGTTTCCCTTGGCACCCGCCGCAACCCCTGGACTGGGCCTCCCGGCCCAGGCGCCACTGTCCTGCTGCGGGCTTCGAACCTCACCAGGGCCCCCGGCATCGGAAGCGACGGGCGGCCCGGCAGCCGCGTCCGAAGGCATCCTGGTCGCTGACTTCACAAAGAACTCCATGGTCTTCACGCCTGGCCCGAGCTTCTTCCGCGCGCGCTGCTGGTCGACGAAGAAGTACGTCTCGTGGTCGGGGGGCCCGCCGCCCACGACGGACAACTCCTCCAACTCCTCCGCTTGCTTCTCGAACTGCTGCGCGCCCTCGGGCAAGCCGCCCGGGAAGTTCACCTTGGGCGCGCCCCGCGCGTCCTCCTTCACGCGGCAGCCGTGCTCGACAGTGGCCGTCTTCCTTTTCATGTAGTTCACAAAAGTATTTGGCTTCACGCGCTTGTGCATCTGCCGCAAAGCGATGTGCCCCTGCACGTGCTCGGGTTCGTCGCGTCCGCATCGTAGCCTGCGAAAGGGTAGCAGCGAGGGGTGGAGAAGGGTGGGGGAAGGGGCAGGAGTGAGGGGAAGGGGAGGACGGTAGCCTTGCTTCGCGTAGGCCCTCAGGGCTATCTCGGCGCCAGACCTCAACGATTGGGATGCGAGCGCCATCCGATGGCCGCCTGGCGGGAAAGGCGGGCCGCGTTGTCTCGAGCCGGCGCGCCTGCATTGCAGACCTGGTTGCCCGCAGAAATTCGCAGCAACTAACAGCAGCTAGCGGCAGCTAGCAGCAGTTAACAGCAGCTAATAGCAGCTAACAGCAGCTGACAGCGCGAATTCGCAGCTGAGCCGCGAATTCGCACTTGTTAGCTGCTGTTAGCTGCTGTTAGCTGCTGCCGCCCTTGCTCGCCGCTGCTGGCTGCAGCGTGCTGCTCATGCTAGCTGCGGGCTGCTTCAAAAGCTCTCGGGTCTCTCCTGGTGCCCGAGCGCGCGCTCGAATTTCCCACCGAAATTCGGCCGCCCCGCGAACGCGCCCGACGAAGCAAGCGAAAGCCCCACCAGGGACCCACCAGGAGGTGCCTGGAAAGACCACAAGCAGGTATCCGGAGAGGCCCAAGAGGCCGACGGCCAAGATCTGGGGGGCCCGTGAGCGCCCCCGAGAGGGCATCCCAGGGCCTCTAAAAGGGCCCCAAACTGATCCAAGCGGGGCCCGAGAGAGCCCCCCGAAAAAAAAGTAAGCCCAAAGACCGCCGCAAGGAGGCCCGGGCAGAACCAGAAAAAAATAGTGTTTTTTTGTCCTGTTCCGCCCGGACCCTGCTGGCGCCCCCTGGGCCCCCCCCCCGGCGCCCTCGGCGGCCCTCCGGCGGCGTCGGCGGAAGCCCGCAGAAATCTTGCGCGGGGGCGACGAAAGACCAGATGGCGGCCCCTGGAAGCACCCCGGGTGGCCCTGGAAGCACCCTGGGGGCACCCGAGGAGCAAGGGCAACGCAGTGAGGGCAGAGGAAGAGATGGCGTAATGGGTTGGAGCACGACGAGTGGCGCTGCTTTGGCACACAGGCTGGGCGACTTTCCCACGGTCAGAGGTTGGCCACTATGCCAGGCACCCACTGGCGGATCAGCGCGTCCGCCTTGGCATTTCCCAGCAAACCGCCGGCCTGCGGCTGCAGGTCCTGGATCTCCCGCTGCAATCGCGCAGCCTCCTCCGCGAACTCGCGGGCCCGCCCTGGGTGCGCGGCCGACCATCCGTTGGCGCCAGCGCGCCGCCGCATCCAGGACCGGAGCGTGATGATCGACCGCACAGGATTGGCGCGGCTCTCCCCGTAATGTGCGGGGGTCAATGTCTTACTTCTGTTCTTGCCCCATCCCCCCTGGCGAGGGGTGGGACCAACCTCTATGCACGACTATTTTCACGTCGTCGTTGCCCGTGTTGTCCGGGATGTAGAAGAAACCATTGTCCCGAAGCGGCGGCCTCCGGCGCCCTCTCGGGCCGTCGCCGCCGCCCCCCCGAGCGGCGGGGGCCGCGACCTCCTCGGGGCCGAGGCCCGGTAGGTCTCTGAGGTGGACCGCCAGGGGGGCGTCGCTGTTGGCGGGCTCGCCGCCAGATTCGGGCGCCGAGTCCGACTCGACGCTGCTTCCCTCGAGCGCGGAATCTGCGTCCGTGTCCACGACCCTGGATGAATCGGACAGGCCTGAGACGTCGTCCTCGGAAGAACCGCCGTCGCCGCCCAACCCTTTCTGAATCGCAGAACCCTCCGAGCCCGAGCCATCGCTCGCGTCGTCGTCGCTGGGCTCCGCAGCGCGCCGCGGGCGGGGCAATTGCTCGGTGAGGCGGCGGCCCGCCTCGGCGGCAAGGAGCAGGCCCCCGCCAGGCGCGGGGCCCCCTCGCATGCGAAACCCAAAGACCCCGCGCACCGCAGCGTCGGTGAAAACGTCCTCGAGGACAGCCAGCGGGCGGATAGCTGCTGCCACATCAAAATCCTCAAAGATATTGTACTTCAACAGGGCCCCCGTCGAAAATGGCTCCACGTCGATGGCGTACGTTCTCCCAGCCAGGGTGTACAAAAATAACATGTGCTTCCTGTCCGGGTGCACGCGGATGCCGTGCCACCCCGAACGGCGCTCCAGGATGGCCCCCCACTGCGTCGCGCAAGGCCTCCACTGGTCGCCCTCTGGCCCCAGGCGGGCGGCGGGCGCTGGCAGGCCATGCCGGGCGCGCAGGCGCTGGTTCCGGGCGCGGCGGCGGCCCGGTGCGGACTCCATCTTCTCCGCGAACTGCTCCATGTTCTCGTCCAGCCACTGGGCCCACTGCGCCCTTGTAAGTGGCACGCGGCACGCCTGCAACAGCGAGTCGTACTCCCGCTCAGCAGCGGCAACCAGGGCGACCCGCTGGGATTCGAGCTCGTCGGCGTGCTCCTCGACGTATGACGCGAGTCGCCGCACGGCCGCGTCGTCGGGGTTGGAGTCAGCGGCGCGCCCGAACGGGCGGGCGTTGGCGCTTCGAGGGTGGCCCCATGGGGGCATCGTCCTGCTCCTGTTCCTCCTCTTCCCCCTCCCCGTGCTCTCTCCCCACACTCCTTGGCACATTCCCTTCTCTCCCTCCATCGCCCCTCTTCTCCTCCTTTCGATCTCTTCCCGCAACTCCCGGTCACATATCTCCTCCCCGTCCTCCTTTTCCCTGGTCCCCGCTGCTGCCCTTCCTGCTCCCCCTGCTCGTCCTCCACCCCCCCTCCTCCGGCTCATTCTCTTGGCGGCTTCCCCCATCTCGTTCGCCCTTGTTTTTTCCTCTTCGCCCCAATTCTCTTGTGATTGTCCTTCCTCCTCGTCGTCCCCATCCCCTCGTGACCTTCATTGACCTTCTGATTGTGCCCCTCGCCGTCCGCCTTTCGCCCCTCCGCGACTCCCTTTCCTCCCCGCGTTCGTCCTCGTTATCGTATTCTTCCTCCTTCGCTTCTTTCCTTTTCTTCTTCCCTCATATGTTTCCTCGCGCCCGGGGCGCAGCAGCAAACGCCAGCTAACGACAACTAACAGCAGCTAGCAACAGCTACCAGCAGCGAATTCGCGCGCCACGATGTTACAATTTTGCGCCTGGCAGTTGCCACGTAACGCCTATGAGCGAGCCTTCCCAGGGCCCCACATCGGCATGCTCCAAATGATATGCTTGATTATGTCGCGTAGTCAGTAGGAGATACATCTCGGCGAGTCCGAAGCCAAATGCTCAATTCGATGTGCCCGATTATGAAATACTAGTAGCTAGTAGGCATCCCTGTCATCGCTCGTCTGGGTGCGCATGTGCACTTGCCAGGTCGGTATGACTGCGATGCGCGCGTGCGCGCGTGCCACATGTACCCGACATGCTGCCTGGCTGTGAAATTCCCTGGCACCCCACGGGCATGTTGTGGCTTCGGTCGTTACCCGCACCGTCGGTGCATCAGTAAGCATGTCGTCTGGCATGGAGGGGGGAGGGAGGGGGAAGGGGGGAAGGGAGGGAGGGGAGAAGGGAGTGGAAAGGCGAGGGCGCCGCCCCAGAGCGAGGCCGAATCGACAGGCCCGATCGAGCCCCCGGGGCCCCCCGGCGACCCCCCAGGGAGGGTCGGCGACCGCGGGCCGCGAGAGCGCCCTGCCCACGCCGTCGCCGCGAGGGCGCGGGGCTTCCCGCGCGCGGCCGGCGCCGGCAGCCAATTGGGGCACTTCGGACGCCAACGGGGATTTTGCGCTAGAGAAGGGCTCGCCGCGCGCGTCCTCCTCCTCCTCCTCCTCCTCCTCTCCTCCTCCTCCCTCCTCCTCCTCCCTCCTCGTCCTCCTCCTCCTCTCCTCCTCCTCCTCCTCCTCCTCCTCCTCCTCCTCCTCCTCCTCCTCCTGCTCACGGGGCCTCCTGCCCCACCCCCTCCGCTGCCTCCGCCTCCCCCGCATCCTCCTCCTCGCCCCTTTTTCCTCCCTCTCTTCCCCGATCCCCCTCCTCCTCCACCTCCTGTCCCTCTTCCACACCTCCTCCTCCACGCCCCCCTTCTTCGTAATTGTCCACTCCTTTCCCTTGTGAATAACTCCTCCCTGTCGCACCCCGAAGCCAGTCGCAAGGGCGGGCCAGGCGTTTCGCCAGAGACTTCCTATAATTTGTGATCCTGTAGCTTAAAAGCGGCAACAGTTTCACAAATGGAGGGCGGGTGGTTTTGAACATGTGGCTCACCTTTAGCGCCGCGCACACTTGGTTTAAACAAGTGTAAGAGCCTCGCGGATCGAGGGCGGGGGGTTTTCAAAATGCGGTTCTCGCCTTAGCGCCGTGCGGATTCGGTCAAAAACATTGCGTGAATGTCACGGATTGAGGGCGGGTGTTTTTCAACATGTGGTTCTCGCTTCAGCGCCGCGTGCATTCCTTATGAAACGTTGCAGGCGCTTCACGGATTGACAGCGGGTGGTTTTCAAAATGTGATTCTCGCTTCAGCGCAGCGAACACTCGTGTTACACATGTGCAAGAGGTTCACGGATTGAGGGCGGTTCTTTTTCGAAATGTTGTTCTCGCTTTGGCACCGCGCACATTCGCACAACAATTGTAAGAGTTTCACGGGTTCCCATGGTTAAGTTAACATCGTACCAGAAATTGCGTTTTTGGAGCGGTTCAGCACATTCCGGGCGCAACAGTCACGTTGATTCGCAGTTGTGAAGTGCTAGGAACGGCGTTCTGACACGATTCAGGATTGTCAAAACGCAACAGTCAGGTTGATTCGTGGCGTTGGAGTCCCGAGAATGGTGTTTTGGCACGCTGCAGGATCTTCAAACGGTTGTCTCCAAACGAGTCACTTCCCTCAGAGGAAATGAATCCTCGTAGGTGCCTACGGAGAGGGAGCTTGGAAGGAGGGTTGATTACAACATCGTTGATGCGTCTTGGGTTTACACTGGGCCTCCTCATCTTCCTCCTCCTTCTTATTTCGGCTTCGTCAATATTCTTAAGAACATGAATGTATTGTGTGTTAGTGCGTGCGTGTGTGCGTATTCTTTTTTATATTAGTACGACCCGCAATGTATATATGGTTCGCATTCATAGTTTTATTACCCCTCGCCGTCATCATCCTCTCCGCTGTCTTCCTCCCGCTGTTCCCCATCCTCCTCTACATCCTCCTCCTCTTCGGGGGGGGAGCGAGCGAGAGGGAGATAGAGGGGCACGGACAGAGAGAGAGGGAGGGAGAGAGAGAGAGAGAGAGACAGGGACAAATAGAGGGAGAAGGAGAGAGAGACGGACCGTCCGCCGCCCTCCCCGACATGCCCATTCCCGGCACTACCCCCTCCTCATCACTCTTCATCGCTTGTTTCTTAGTATTCCCCCTTCTCCCTTCTCCCCCTCCTCCTCGGCTGTGTTATCCTTTTCTTCGCCGTTGTCCTCCTTGCCCTTCGTCCTATCCTGCCATCCTACCCGCACCCCTCTCTCCTGACCATCCTCGTCCTCAGACCTGGCTTTTCCTTCCTGCCCTACTCATCCCTTACCTGCTCCCTTTTCACGGTCCTCTCCGCTATCCCACCGCCGCATCCATCATCTCCTTCATCGGGGATAAGGGGGGCAGCAACGGGGAGAAAGCTTACGCACACACATGCACGCAGACATGTTTCCGTGCACTGAACCTAGCCCGAACAACAATAAGCCTGACGGCGCTTTGAGCAACGAACGCGTTGGCGCCGTTTTGTTTCAGAGACGGCCCCTCTTCCGATATCTACGCGAGGCTCCAATGCAGCTGCAGCTTGAGCGCGCGCCGAGCGCGAGCGATGGTTCTGGTATACTATACCCACCACCTCTTTTGGGGGGAGGCCGAGGACAGCGAGGAGGGGAAGTGGGTATTGACACCTGCAGACATAATTGCTGCGTCAGGAATTCACTCTGGGCTGGGGAGCCCTGAGAATCGAGTGAGGGAGGCAGGAAGAGCGAAGCGAGAATGAGAGGGATGAGGTAGAGGCGAGGTGGGACAAGGATTGGACTCTAAGATGAGGAGGATGCGGAGGAGGATGAAGAGGATGAGGAGGAGAAGGAGGAGAAGAGAACGGGAACAATAAGGAGGATTGTGGAGGGATGGTGGAGGAGGTGGTGGAGGCGGGGCAAGGAGGGGAGGAGAGGACGAGGATCGAAACTTGAGCATGGAAGAGCGAGGACTGAGAGGAGAGTGGAAGGAGGGGAGGGGTTGTTAGAGAGGGAGGCGGAAGAAGGAAGAGGAGGAGGGGGAGGGAGAGGGGGATGGTAAGGAGGAGGAGGATGATTGAAGACTTGAAGACCGAATCGAGATTACAATGTATCGTCCGCGCAGAACTGACTGAAGCTCAGCTGCTCAGCCCATCTCTCCAGGGAGCTCGAACATCGGGGCACATCCTTGCGCCTCGTTGAGCCCCACGGCAAGGTCCGTGCCCAGGGGCTAGGGGGCTTGCCGCCGCGGAGCCCAGAAGACGGGCAGCGAGGGCTCAGCGCCCCTCTCCTCGCTGTCCCCCCCAGCGGCCTCGCCGCATCCCGGCGTCGCGCTGCCGCCTCGGTAGCGGGCACTCGCACGCCGCCGAGGGCCGCCCGGGCGCGGCCCGGGACGAGCACCCCCTGCAGACGCGGCCGAGGCCCAGCGCCCCCGCGGGCCCACCGTCCGCTTGCTGCGCGCGGCCCACGAGGGGCAACGCGGAGCCGCGCGCGGGGGCCTCGCCACCGCCGGGAGGGGCCCGCGGGCGCCCGGCGCAGGGAGCGCAAGACGCTTGCAAGCCGCAGCCTCGAGGTCGGTGCCTTGTGCTCGAGCTACCCCTCGGGTGTGGCTGGAAGTGTCCCCTGGCCCAAGGTTCCACAATTGAGCGAAAAGCTGGGGGCACCTTGAGCTAGGGACACCTTCAGAGCGACCCCCGAGCCCCAGGCGCATGAGGGATCTCGTTGGCTCAAGGGGGGAGCGGCTGAATCGTTGGGCGGAGCTTCTCGGCCGCTGACTGCCCGCCGAGCTCCCTCGGAAAACCCTCGAGCAACACACACAAGCATGGATCATGGCGCGTGGATGAGCGACGGGCCCCGCCTCCATTCAAAATCGGCGCGCTCCGTCGCCAAGTCAGGCGGCGCTGGCTGAATGCCTCATGTTTAACCCTCATCTGTGCTAGCGCGCACCCGAACCCCCTTCGGACTCGGCGGGCCCGAGTTTGGAGACGGCGGGGACGGCGGCAGCGTGAGCTGGCGATGGGGCCAGGCCTCGGCCAGCCTCGTAGGGCTGCGCCTCTGCATGTGCGCACGGCCTCCAATTGGAACTGCTCCCGTTCAGGGATCAGCATGGTCCGCCGGTTGGTGGACAGAGGTATTGCGGTATTTTAGGAGGGCCAGGCCCGTTTATGCTTCAAGCGCCGTCCTGCTTCAATCGCCGAAGGTTGTCTGTTTGTTCTCCTTCTCTGTCGTGGGCGGGCTGGAGCCCAATCTGCTTCGAACGCCTTCCTACGTACGTGCAACACCAAACCAAGCATCCGAGGTCCTAGCGAGACCCCCCAAGCGAGCGACACCCGAATCCCCAAACACTTGCTGGGTGCACATG